GTGAGCGCAACAACAATGGAGTCGGGTAGATTTTTTAGATCCGCCCTTCGAGCCACTTTTGAAACGCGATACGCGTACTTCCAAATATCAGAAGGTTCGGGTGCGCAGATGTTCTTTTTAAAAAGTTGTAGAGAAATCTCGCCTTGACAAGACTTGTGATCGCTATCTCCACGAGCAAACGAGTTGTTTCTGCGTTGTCCTAAAAGTTCCCTAGTCGCGAGCGCTTGCGCTTTGCACCACACGGAAATATCTGTCATGTCGAACTGTCTGATTGGCCAAAGGCAATGATGCAACGTCTCCTATGAAGTTCTGTTTTCGAAGACCACCACCATGGAAACGCTATGTTACCTGCATGAACACAGAATTCAGCGATCCTCTTGAAGTGTTGCGTACAAAACTCCGGAAAATCAGAACCCCCCACTTCGCGCGCAAGGCAGGTTCTTACAGCTTCTAAAAATTTACCAATTTTCTACTGTGCGGTTTGTTACGTTTGACAGACCTAGCGGCTCAGATAGCGCAGGTGGTGATGTCTGTGGTGGTGCGCGAGCAGATTGTGCATTCCTTTCCGTCAACTAAATGACTAACGCATTCACAGCAGCGTTCGTACGCAAGAAAATTTTCACTCACATTGAAGCGGTTGCGATGGAGTTCTGCACTCCTCCGCATAGTCGAGGGACATGTCATACGGGGGCTTTCTACGTCGTACTCCTATAAAGAAATTGACCTTTTATCCAATCATTTAATATCAATTTATAGCTTATCACTTACGGCAGCCCAGGGCCATTTGAAGTTGGAGGTACCAGTTGCAAATAACAGCTCATCAAGGCCGCTTTTGCACGCAGAGAAACAATAGAATTGCCCATTAAGGTGAGCTGCTCACTATATGTTTAAACTAGTTTTTTTAGAATCTGAACATTATCTATAGATCTTATTTTGTTTCTAACTCTCAAAAAATGAACAATGAAAAAGCAAAAATGAGGGAATCGCTCTCTTCCTATTTTCTCGTCGTATTATATAACACCAGTGCGTCACCTCTGCTTCGCAAAGGCTTGCACTGGTCCTACTATCTGTATGCCTTACTTATTCCAGTAATAATGCACTGAAACTTACCGCGCAATGCCGACTATCGCGAATGAATTGTAAACAACTACTCATTCCAGAAGCTTTTTCATGTGAAATTGGTGATTTCGCGTAGACGAAATTTTTTGCAGTAAAACGAACGCAAATTTGAAAAGGTTTTTGAGTTCTTCATGGTTCAGGTAGTCGTCATATGAACAATAATCACCGTTAGGTACGTTTTTTGCAAAAATATCATCAAATGCTCTGGTAAAACCTTGCAAATTGACCTTTATGCAACCAATACTTTTTGGCGCCTTTTTTTGTAAAGAGTGGACAGTTGATCACTTTTTTGGGTCTGTATTCCTAACTTGCACATTTACTCACCATACACATTCGCGACTCTACAAAAATAGAATCACGGACTCAATTTTGTGGGCAAGAAGCCAAGTGGATCCGTTTCACGCGCAATTTTTGAGGATCCACGCAACGAATCTGCTCGAGCCTTCGCATGTTGAACTTTCGCGCCAGTAGCATGCGCTACGCAAAATTTGAGCTCAGCACGTTTGCTGGAATCTGCTCTACGAATTTCGTAACGGACACACACACACACACACACACACACACACACACACACACACACACACACCCTTAGCCCGTTATTATAAGTAATATACAACCCATAGATCATATTTATCATAGGGTTTGGACCGTGATAACTTTTATCATAGATCAGTAAGTTTTCACGCGCAGAAAATCAAAAATCAGAAAATCAAAAATCATAAATCAAAAAAATCAGAAAATCACACGCAGAAAACCGCTTATAAACAACAGAAACGAGTGCTTAGCCGTTACGAATGACTTCATGCCATTTTTATCACTGTGTGAGCTATGATAGAGTAGTGCGATGATTACATTTACAATGAGCCACTTAATGTGGTTTATTGGCACTACTGTCACCAAGGAAGCGGTCGCACTATACTATCAAGTGACCGGCGGTGGAGCAAAGGTGTGTTCGTCTTCTCCCATCTAACGGCTTTTGCTTGTAAAACTTGAGAGGGGATCGAGAAGCTGACCGAGGGTTGACGAAGCACTTGGTGGGGCAGACATAAGATCGCTAATCCCGCACCACTTTAGGCCTCCGAAGACGACGAGTAGTCGAAACGCGTTAGGCCACTGATGAATAAATTGCTTCGCCCAAACCTCGTGCTGGCTACATTATACTGACACAGTTTGAATTTTTATCATAGAGTTTGGATCGTGAACGCATCTCCTACGATGATCTTGTACTAACGACTGTGGAAGAACCAGGCTGCGAAAATTTTTAGTGTACGATTACGAGGTACCTTCAAGTCCAAATGGTGCCGAAGCTTTGATAGTAGTATTACAGGTAAGGAGTCTGTCCTTTTTCAGGATTTAACTAGGAACTTTGCGATATTTTCTGAATAAGTTACAAGCCGAACATATGCCTTATTACTTCAATCCAAACGTAATAATACATTCTAGTCTTGTTTTTCCAGTGATGTGATGTAAGTTTTCGCACAGACTTGGGTTTGCAGGATCATGCTGAAGATCCTATTTACAGACCTGCTCATCTGAGTATTCCTATGGCGGCAATCTATTTTGGAAATATTCAGGGTGGAGTACTGATCAGTCATTGGAAGATGTATACTTTTTCGCTTTCATTCTTTATGTTAACAGGATCAGCGGTCATTTTCTGAAAAAAATAAATAAACAAAGATCTTCATGTTCTTTTTGTATCTGAACTACTTACTTCTACTTACGATGCGGTTGGAGTTCTGTTTGGCAGACAAATCTGTTCAAGAACAAGGTTGTTTTTGGAATATTTCGCCCATTCACAAGCTTATTCTTTTAGGTTTCATACACAGACAAAGCTGAGTTGGATGAAAGATGGAAAAGCAAAATCAGCGCGGATTTTATGTATGACCAGTGTGACATCATTAGTTACAAATTTGAAAATCCTGGAAAAGCTAGTACGTTTAAAGCTTTACGCTTAAATTGCCCATACAGCTCATCAACTGATAACTTCTTGCTTCACTGTGTCCCATAAGTTTCAAGTTAATTTACAAAGTTCTGGTCTTCCATTTTTCTTCCTCACTGTCGCTTGTGAACCTGTAGTTCAAAAATACGTTGTTGCCACCAGTTTGACAGCTTTAGACTAAACATCGATCACGTTTCATCATTACAGTAGGAAGAACGAGCTTTACAAAAAATACAGTTGAACTTAATGTGCAAATTTTGAATTGGGACAGTATCCTGGAGGCCAGACCTGTTTGGAATTACCCTAAAATCCGTACAATAAGTCCGCCTATCAGATAAGTCCATCTATCAGATAAGTCCGCAGCAGACCTAGCAGATAAGTCCGCTTTCTTGACAACGAAAGTCGCCCTCGCGCCGCCAAGAGTCCTGCAGATAAGTTTGCTTTCTCATGCTCAGGATAGGCAAACTTATCTGCTGCGGACTTATCTGATAGAGTATTTAGGAGGACTTATCTGCAAGACTTGGCGGCACAGAGGGCGATTTTTCATCGATTTTTCGTGTCAAAACTGCAAATAAGTCCGGACTTTTTGTACGGATTTCAAGTAGGTGTTTTTCAACTTCTGAGTGAAGCAACCGCGAAAAATATAGAATGCACTTTGCTTGCTTGACTTCTTTTCATACATTACTGTCTTAGGAGTGAAGAAACCGAGAGCGGGGAGAATTCGCGAAGTAAAATTTTCGGAACAGGACACTACCACGTTACGGTACGGTTGACTTTATTTGATTGCTTCAGTAATTTTTTATTATTCTAATCTGTTTTTTTCTAATCTATTCTATTCCCAAACTGTTACGCGAGTGACTAAGTTTGCAGTCCATTTTCGTACTTTGTACTTAGGTCAAATTGAACTACATTCGGCGCATAATTGTGGATAATGCGGTGACGGATGCCTATGGCAGAGATAAGACGCGAATACATCTAGATCTTAATTGCCCCGTGATGATAAAAAAGAGGCTTCATCAAAAATTGTCCAACTGGGTGCATACCAAGACTAAGGTCGCTTGTTAAATTGAGTGAATAGAGATAGAGACAGGGGTAGATAGAGATAAGAGGAGAGATAACAGTAAGATAGAGATAAGAGGGGAGATTAATAACAGGAAGAAAGAAGAAGAAGGAAATAATACAGTCAAAAGGCGTCCCATAACTTTTGAAAAGGATAGAAGAGCAAAAGATGTGAACTACAACATCTGACAAGGGAAACTTCCCAAGTCAGCTTGGTCAACCCGGATGAGTCATATATTGTCATAACGGGCTTGAAACGCTGATTCCAAATCTGCTTTCCTTTTCTGCGGAGCAACTTTCCGAGGGAAGTTATGAGCGTTCAAATGTTTAAATTTGTCATGTTCAAAGTGGCTTAAAATCAGTTGAAAGCTGTAAAACAGCACCTAACAAAATTTCATTGTCTGTGTTCCGTCCTTGTAATCAATATACTTGATACAAAACTGATAAATCACTTTCATGTGTTATTGTACAGGTTTCGCTAATTTTAAGCCATTTAAAACATGACAAATTTAGACTTTTAAACGCTCATAACTTCTCTCGGAAGGTCGCTCCGCAGAAAAAAAAGCAGATTTGGAATCAGCATTTTAAGCTCGTTACGGTAATATATGACTCATCCGGGTTGGCTAAGCTGACTTGGGAGCTCTTCTTCGTGAGAAGACAAAATAATTAGATGCTCACCTCTTTTTCTCTCAGTTGATCCAGCGAACAACTTCTCCGATGTAAAACTTGAACACTGCGCTTGCAAGCCGTTGTAGGCTGCTCCTCTCAACTTGCTGTTTGTACCTGAAAAAGGAAAGTTCACTATAAACAACTGATAAAAGAGACATGAACTTACCTTCAAACAAAATCCTAAAGCGCGGCGTTGATTTCGACATCCGCTTCCTCAAGCGCGCGCCCTCGAAACGTGGTCCCGTACCGATTGGCTGGCTAGCACAACAATGTTCGCGGGAACTTTCCATTTAGTGTAGTTCACGGGAACTTTGCTACCTTTGCCAAAGTTCCCACGCGCTTCCTCCTGAACTTTGGATCCGCGGCTCCCTTGACGTCATAAATCACGGAAACTTTGTAATTTCTATACCTCAATGGTTAACAAGGTCCTCCGGAACTTTAACAATCTTTGGCTGTTCGCCGGATCTTCCCGGCGTTTGTCTGAGTCGAGGTATTTAGCACCTCCGTTCACCAGTTTAGCACTGTTCATCATACAGGCGATTATAGGTGCGAAATGTGGAGCAATTCCTCTGCCCCTCTTCACTTTTACGCCAACATCTGGATGACTCCCATCACCTAAGGGTTGAGACTAGGGTCCAAGGCATAACGGCAAAATAAAACACCCGTGATAATGGTGCACATTTTTGTGTCAGTAGTTTGTGCCTTCAGATTCTGTGGTGGAGAGTTTATTGACCTTACGTTTCGACAATGTCGTCGTCATCAGAGGTCTGAAAACGGATTGTAGGCTCTTTGACTTGCTCACCATACCCTCAAGCGCCTCCTCCCACTCTGTCAGTCTAGACCAAGTCTAAGACTCGCAGCATGAGACCCTCAAGGCCACGAAACAAACGAACCTCGACTCCACCGGCTAGCGACAAGCCCGCACATCTGGTCGTAACGGACGTCACTGAGTATCACCCAATGAGTCAAGTCCTTTTATGTGCGACGCTAAGCCCACATAATGATATGAATGGAGCTAAGTCACTACTGATAGACAAGCACTCATTTTTGACATTCATCTTTGGATTCCCGATAGAAATCCACACGGCTTCAAATAGTTTCCTTGCGCAAATTTCAGTCTCGCATGTCAATATCGTGCATTTGACTTCGTAATCACTTCCGCAGTGCGCCTCTATCTTGTGCCGTCCCAACGGTGCTGTTGGAGTCCCTCGTCTTTTATTCGCTAAATGCTCTTTCAACCGCACACCTAGACTTCTACCCGTTTCTCCGATATAGCAGTCTTGGCAGCTGAGACATTCTAATTCGTAGACCACACCTGTCTTTGCACAATCTCCTATTCTGCCGTACGGACAAACTATGCAATGCTCCATCATGCGCTCATTATCATAGAGTCTGTTTCGCACCAACTGCTTCTTCAAACTGTTATTCGGGATGTTAACAAGCATTACATCTTCCTGCAGTTGGGCTCTAGAAATGCATTGCTTAATTTGCCTACTAATTTCGTCTGAAATAAAGAGAATGCAAAGAGGGATCTTATCGCATTGCATTCGGACATGCTGTGTGGAACGCGTACGTAATATACGTTGATGTTCTTGTAACGCATATCCATTGTTGCGCGCGATTTGTGATGCAAGCTCTCGTAACTCAAGCTGCTCTTCGTAACCCGTGCACACCGTCGAAGCAGTTTTCATCATATTATGAATCACTGCTCTTTTCATTTCTGCGGAGTGAGCTGATCTTGCATGGACCAAGATATTCTTGCAGCTTCCTTTACGATACCATTTAACATGGAAAACACTATCGAATAAGCTGATCTGGGTGTTAAGGTAAGGCAGCCATCCGTTTCTAGGGGTCTCTCGAGTAAGCTTGATGTCAAATTTGGACATTCAAACGCTCATAACTTCTTTGAAAACTTGTTCCGCAAAAAAGGAAAGCGGATTTGGAATCCCCGTTTGAAGCCGCGTCTACTGATGTATATCTCATCTTCAATCGCCGACTAATGTTGGTATCCTTCCCTTGTTAGAAGTTTTGAGTTTATTTTACGATTTATCCTTTGGGTAGCAAAGCGTTTGATATTTTGTACCGAATTCTCAATGCAATCATACTGGAGGAACTATAGTACAATCTCCTCAGCATAGCTACTACTTACAAAAAACACTGTGGTTGCTCGCACATGTGCCTTCTACTAGAAATCGAAAAAATTGTTCATTTCTAATCGACAACAGTGACACAATCTCCTCAACCATGATACAATCTCCTATCATCATTACTTTTATAATCTATTTGATAATGATAGTAATCATGATATCTTTATATCTCTTTGAAGGTTGTACGTTAATGTGTATAGTCGAAGTTAGCATTACCAGGGCTCGGCACGAGGTGGCTAGTTAAAAATGCAGAAAACGAAGTCCCCTTGACTTTTGCAAAATTTTACGAAGTCCCCTTTGACCATAAACCATAATCTCTGAAAAACCCCCAAAAAACGAAACGTTGACTAAAAACAAACGTCGCAGTTTTTGTGTCTTTTCGGTCTCAAAAACGAAATCCCCTTCGCGGATTTTCAGACTAAAATTCATGTTTTGGACCATAATTATTGGAAAATGAGAAAGTCGAGGTAATTTGCATATGTATGGATAAAGCGTAAAAAGCACTATTGGAAAGCAACTGTTAAGGTTGGCTTATTTGATTACCTTGATGAAAGAATAGATAGTATGTCTCCTAATACTCAATGTTACATCTCTGTTTTAAAAGCCTTGGGACCACCGAGCTATGGTGGATTTGGTGACAGTCCCCTCACCCCATTGTTACGCAGATTTTTTGGTAAGCTCACTTGTTCCACTGCGGCGCTGCTGCTTAAAGTTCAAAATTACTTGAAGTGAAGAGCTCTAATTTTGAGCGCTTATAAAAATAACGCCATGTGACAGTGCCCAACTATGACCTCGATCAAAAGGTTTTGTTACGTACTAACATCTGCTAAAACTGGGACTCCCAATTAGCTTTTCTATTTGAGAAGACTGCATTTATTCTCTAGGTCCCCCCTTACTTTTGGATCACCCTAATATAAAGTTATGAATTTACAACAGCAACTGAAAGGGAATAATGACATGATTATAGTATTAGTCTTCAAAATCTAATTTTTCTTCAGAATCTAACATGACTCAACACTTAGGACTCTAGAAATTAATTTCTGAGAGATGCTTTCAAGGTTACTGAAGCAGGAGCTATGAACTTCTTTGTATACTGGAGAAATGAGAAAGGCGAAAACGAACTTATTACTGCTTCGCTAGAAAGTGGTAAATAAATATTTAGAAAAATGAAGGGTGCATTCAAACAAGCAGTACTTTGACCGCTTCATGTATTTCAAAAGCTTTTCTGTCGCCAATTTTGACAGAAAGGCCGAAACCTTAATAGTGATAACCAATGAAGATCTGATGCACCCTTTTTCTACAAAAGCTATGAAAAGTTAAAAGTATCTTTATTTATTTAGGGATAATTCTCCCAGGCGTAACACGTCAATCTATACTGGAACTTGCCAAGGAAATGAGCGGTATCAAAGTGACGGAGCGCGATTATACCATGGGTGAATTACGGAAAGCTGTGAAAGAAAAGAGGGTATGAATAATCAATGCACTCATTTGTCAGCGCCGGTAACCTGGTATAAAAAGATTTTTACGTAGCACGCTCACAATGCACCCGCTAGTTCATCGCTTGCGAACATCTGGTGTCTTTGCGAACAAAATAATGCTTACAAAATTTACTATAGGTGTACGAAATGTTCGGTGCCGGAACAGCTGTCATAGTAATCCCGGTGGACACATTACTTTACGAAAACAATGGGCAATGTGAAAAGTTAAAAGTTCCTATGATAGACAGTGAAAAGTCTGTTATGCAAAAGTGCGTGTATATTAGAAGATAATACATGCCACTTTCAAATCATTTTCAGGGTGTATAAAACTATCGAAGGTATTCAATACGGAAGAATATCACGTCCTAAATGGACTGTGGAAATTTGAAACATCTGCTTCTACATTTTCAAAAATTAGACGACTCTCATGACATGCTTATAAATAAAGGGTTGTTCCACAGTGTTGTCATCAATGAATTTGCCAAAAGTATAGAATGTGAAGATTGAGATAAAAGATCAATTAACAGCGCCACAGAAAGTTAAGACCATCTTTGCTTCGGATAAAGCTAACTAACCACCCAACAACTAGCGCAGGATGTTTCCGATGTTTCATCTT